TTGAAATCATTCACAAGTTAAAATGCCAACGAACCGAACATAGAAAATTGCGTCATTTCAATAATGTTACAACATCTATAGACACTATTCGCAAATAAGCACGTGTGATTAAATGTTTAAGTTTGAAAAACAATAATGAATATAGTGCATATTCATTTTCAAGCCAAATTGATTTATTGATAATTTACAAACCTTCAACTAAAAATTTAATGCAAAACACATTAAAAAATAATTTTTCATAAGAATGTAAAAAAACTAATTTAAATTTAATTTATATTTCCATTCTTAAAACTTTTTTGTAAAAAAAAGACAGTTAAATGTTGCATTAAACATTTTAATTACACAATAATCTTTTTTTTAACAGACACTTACTTTAGAATATAAATTAATTAGTAAAATTATTATTACCTCAAATTATTATCTCAATTATCATATGCCTTAAAAAATAAAGAATCGATATCAGAGATCTCTCAATCAATATGTTTCCAGTCAAATACTTTGGATATTTAAGAATTAGAAAAAAATTTATCATCGATAAATGTGCTTCGGAAAGACGGCGCCACGACTCGTTGTCAATCACGCGATTATCGGAATAAGATTGCAAAACTATATTTGTTATACTGCTATTACGTATCATATGCGAGTGAGTCACATTCAGAATCACTTTGCAATTTTATACGTGTAACAAAATAGCATCTTCGCAACTAGCAGATATTTGCATATTTCGCGCGATAAACGCAGTCATTTTAAATTTTTAATGAATGATTATCGCTATATGCGCGACGTTTATCACTCAAGGGTTATTTTTAACTTCTAAACTATTATTATTTTTGTAGTTTCAACGAATATTAACACGTGCGATGTTTTTTTCCATGGAATAAGCTACACTTCCGGATTCAATTTTTTACATACGTTTTCAATCTGACATATCGTATATGTAGATTAAATAACGAAAAATACATAAATTACACTCACGTGTCAATTCATTGTCTCAATTTAATGACAATATGACGCGAGTGTAAGTTAGAAAATCTAATATATAAATTTCATTATTATTATTATTTTTTACTATTTTGTTAGACAATAGTAAAAAGAAAACTAATAAAAAGAATGTGATTCTTATTGACTACAAAGTTTCAACTGTAAATCTATTAATTTCTAATTATGTTAAATATTAATCAACAATTAAACATTTTATTTCATGTAGGTAATTTTACAAATAAAAAATGCGCGTATTAATGTATAACCGATAAAAATAATGATAATATACGATGATTACATTTCGATCGAGATTATTCACGTAAATATTTGTCGATAATATCATGTTTTGCTAAATATATCACGTAAAAATGTTTCCTCTAAAAATATCAATAAAACACTAATGGATATAATATATTTTTACCATAGTTACAGATATGTCTAATTAGTAAATCGATGCATAATATTTTATCTCTAATCTTTTAGAATTTGGATATTAAATTTATTTCTTTTAAATAAGACAAAAAAAGCAAATTTTTATTTTTATCTGATAAAAAATTAAGAGAGTTGTGTTCCCGTTAATATTGCAAAATTAAATTTTCAGCAAAAATATTTATAAATTTTCGTATACATATATATATATATTTTTTATTATTTAATTAAAAAATCAATAATTCGCAAATTAAATCTTATTTCTTTATTAGCTTGTGGCAACAATTAAATATAGCAAAATAGACAATGTTGAGTTCTGTTATGGGACTATCGGGTTACATGTGTCACATGTATTAATAAGGTTATATTGTAAAATATATATTGCAAATATTGTAATTTGCAATTATTAGTGCAAGCTTATTTTTTAGGAATATTATTTTTTTATGAAAAAAAGAAGATTTTTTTTTGTGGTATAATATTTTATCAGATGTTTCCAGAACATCAAACTATGACGTATATTTATTAAAAATTGCTTTGCGATAATATAAATTATATATTCTCAATAATTGATATCATCATTCCAATTTCATAAATTTAAAAAGAAAACAAAGGAAAGAAAAAAATGAGAAAAATATCTTGGGACACGAGATTTAATATCGTGATGAACATATGCTGATTTGCTTGTTCGTATGCAATGGATTTAAGGAAAAAGCAGAAAGAATAGCATGATAGTAAGAACCACGTGATGAGACACCGTATCATATTCGTAAACAGCTTTTAATGGCTTTCACTTTATTGAATTGACTCTTAAATAAATCTAGGATAATTTCGCCAAACAATTTCATTTTATTAACGTACATTCTCGTACTAGCGCATCTTGCATTGGCTTGCATTTTGTCTTAAAAATCTTAAAAAAAATATAAAAATAGAAAATTGAATAATAATAAACCTAATAACAACTGTTTCTCTTTTTAAAGAAAGAATTTATATTATTTTATTGTAAATTAATATAAAATAATACAGATATAATTTTTTTAAATTTCTATTTAAAAAAATGTATGTATATATATATATATATAATATTCAAATTTAGATTCTAACACATTTAGAAATATTTTAAATGAAAGTAAATCACATTTATAATTAAACATGTTATTATCATGCATTAAGTCGTATAAATATTTACATCGACTAGATTATTGTAGCAAATGCAAATCGCGATTATAAATAATAAATTAATATACGATGAAAATGTGTTCTCTAAACTTTGATAAACTCCGATTATTCTGCAATAGCAACCGAGAACGGTTTCAGAGTACGCACGCAAATATGACGATAAATCTAAAGGTAACGGAAATGAGAATATATGTACACGGAAGCGCAGCATGATTTAAATCCGCTCGAGCTAGCGCGAGTGAATTAGGCTAATGGCGCGAGCGTGTTTTGTACTCTGTGCTATAATAAACTCAATAAAATCAATAAAATCTGAAGTAGCAGCGAGAAGTGGATTTTTCTCAGATGAGAAAAAACGGAGGTAATGTACGCATGAAAAATTACTCGTTGCGCAGAATTTAGCAAACATTGCGTTAAAACGTGCCACTGTTACAGATGTACTCGCTACTAACGACAGTGTGAGAAAAAATTCTTGGCACGCTTCGGGCTAATGTATACGCTGCAATGGTAACTGGATATTCGGCTACAAAGAATTCGCTTTGTACTCGACTCACGGATCTAGAACAACTGTATAATCTGGATGTACATTCGGCACAAGCAATTATCATCTTAGATCCCGAATGTATACTTTTTCAATAATTAGAATGACTAAATTTATAGAAATTTTATAGCCGCTCAATAAATGTCCTGATTAACATTTCTAACTCGATCGTTACTTTTCCTTTTCGCACACATTTGTTTTACTTTTTAATGATGTATTTCATGATATATTTCATAAGTTGTATTGTATTGTATATGCATTGCAAAAAAACACAATTAATACATTTGATGTATTTGATGTGACAATTTTCTTTCTATGATATTCACGCGATGTCAAATATATGATATTGAATGTATCATGTATGTTTAGAAAAGTCTAGCAGAATTTTTATAAATCATAATATTTTTAATTAAATGGTAACTAGTAGACATTTTTATATTTCCTAATGTATATGATTATATTACATATTTTATACATGTATGATGATATACATGATTAATTGCCCTGTTAAACAATCTTTGCTATTTATTCTTTTTACGAAAGCCTTCCTTTCCAAGGAGATAACAGAATATGATTTGTTTAAATTAGGGTAGTCCTACAATTCTCGTAATAAGTCGCATATTTATCACAAAATTTAAACACTTTTGTGTAAAGTGATAACAAACAGATGAAATTTGTAAATCCAAGTGTTTGCCGAGTATTTTTTGTGGTATCGTACAACCGGTTTCGTAGAAGTCGTAATACATTTGCTCATAGATATCTACGCTATGATTTATGTACGTTCCAATATTGATGGTGACAATTTGGACAAATGGCACATTTAATGGAATAAATGAATGTTTTTGTGATAGTAACATTGATATTGTAACGTCATTTTACTCCAAACAAAACATACGAATTAATATGTGAATTAATGTGATGAGATCATGCAAAGAGCAATAATTCGTGCTTTTGTTAAGAAAACATAAAATCTCACTTTGTAGCTTGTTTTTTAAAAATTTAATCTATGCAATATACATGCGTTGAATTGTCACAGGTATTAAAACGTATTACGCAATGATTTATTGCCGGAATTTTCTTACAAGCAAGCGTTTTTTTGCTGATACTAACTCGAAATATGTTTGATCTGTAGTAACAGTGAAAATTAAAAGTTATCTTGATCTCGACTTGTGTGACAAGTCAATGGAAAATTTTTGGGATTTGATATTATTTGTGACAAAGTCATCACAGTTGCTTAAATTTTAAACTTGATCTCTTTCATAATTGTATAATATAAAAATTATAAAATTATATCATATTTACTATACTAATTCGTAAGTGTAGGCATTTTGGATTTTTATACAAAACCAATATAGCCTGTCTGATATAATGAATGATGGTGATAGGTATAAAAATAAATGTTTAATAGAGATAAAGAGCTTTTTATCAAGATGGGATCTAATAAACGAAATAAAATGGGAACATAAACATATCTGAAATAAAACATGTTCATACTTGAAAGTTGAATAATTTTGCTTCAATATCCTCTTCTTCATTTTTATATCAATATTTTTATATCAATACAGTTAATCGCATAGGTGTTACGAAAAAAGTGTTTCGTTGTTAAAATTCTCTTCGCTCCTCTTTTTTTTCTTATTTCTTTTTCATGTAAAAATATTTGCACTTGTTTTATTGGATAACATGAGACGGTCATTAAAACTGTTTGTTTTTCTTCGGGTGACATTATCGTGAACAATATGGTACAAAGTACATGTAGAAGTGGAAGAAATCAAATTTTATCATTAAAATGTTGATAATTAAAAAGCATTTCATTCAATTTGATTCAATTTGATTTGATTTATAACATTTGATGATTTATTATATTTTCTGCTTTAAGGTAACGAGAAAATCATAGTCTTCTATAGTCGAGCAGTATCAAATCAGTAAGTATCTATATGTGTATTATATTATTTGATGTCACAATCGTTGATGCACATTCGCGAATAATATGCAAGAAATAGTACCTTACCAGCGCCAACATATATCTCAACGAGTTTTATCAACTTTCATTAATTAAACAATGAATATTAAGTGATGACGTAAATCTTACAATGACAATCTTATTTTCTTTATTTATGTCAATGATAGCAAAACGCGTTCTCAGTCTGAGTCATAAGATAATTGTGCCACCGGAAGCTATTTCACTTAGTTTCATCATTATGACATTACGTATTATCATTAACATAGATAAAGTCAAATACATTGTTATAAACTCATCAATTTGTTGTCAACGATATATAAGAATTTATTGGTGTTAACGTCAATTTAAAGTGCATTTTAAAGTGATACATTTTGAGATCTTATAAAAGTTATTAAAAAATAAATCTTTGCATGATAAATCTATATAGACAAATTAAAGTTAATTTAGCAACAAAAAAAAATATTTAAGAAAAATTAGATAATACTACAATAGAAATCTGTCGAATTATATAAATGTTTTTCAAGAAAAAATTGAACAAGAGCCTCCTGTTGACGTAATAGACGTATTACAATATTAAACATTTGAAAAAATTATACATATGACGAAAATTAAATATTTCTTTAAATAATATTATTACTTGGAATAATTCGAATTACATTCCCCATGATGACTCCGAAGGAAGTGAAATAATGGTATTTCCTCGAAACTTGTTTCGCTCGAATTGCCTGCAACCTCATCGGATGCATGGTTTACAGAACATTTAGCTGCGATTTTTACACTCGACTAGCTTGCGGTTCTTCTTTTGTGCACACGTGCGTCGTGCATTCATACATTGGCGTTACGCGAGCATTTTACTGATTTCTTGCTGTACACTCTATATGCACCCTGTCACTTTTATCGACGATAACGAATGTCAGACATGATTTTCGATTCTGTAAAAAGATGGAAAATGGGATGAATACGATAAACTATAAAGCTGAAACGCGACGCAAGAAAGAAGATCGGACACGAAATGAAAATAGACATCGTGCAAAAATAGCAAAAGCCAAGTTTGCCAGAAACGCGGGCAAACGTGAAAGGAACTGTCACATTCTCAGAGAAAGCTGGCGATGGAAAACGAGCTAAAAGCGAAACGGAAAATAGAACCAGAACGAAAGGGAATGGACGACAAACGACAGAGAAAGAGAGAGAAAGGGGAGGAAGGGGGAGAGGTTCGCGAACCTATTGTTTCCAAGTGTGATACAATGGATTCTCGGTTGTGTTAACTCCACGAAGGCTGGTTCTTCATTGGCCACTCACGTTAACGCGTACGCCATCCGGCCAAGTCCTCGTTGTCGTTTTGCACACCGAACGCATATCGCGTAAATGTGTATTGTGTACTCAACATTGTTCCATGCTGAGCGAACCATGGTATCGCATAAAATAAGGAATGAATTTGAACAGTAGAAAATGGGAAGTGGTCCACAAAAATTCACGGAGAAGTTACTACGAAGGAATGCCAAACACAATTCACTACTTTCCCGTCTCAATTTTACAAATATTTTTTAATAGCTTGACTTGTGAACGAAAGAAGAGCATTGCTTGTCTTTAAATCAGAGATGGTACTTCCATACAGCTTAATTGTAGCTTTCATTCTTATATGAATTTATGTAATACATATGTATTCTTTCATCATATCCTAAACTATACTACAAAATAATAAAATCTCGATTTTTTTAAGAGCAATAATTTATTAATATTGATTAAATTGTTAACACTAATAATATTGATTTCACTAATGATTGGTAAAATTTTTTTTGTAGTCACAAATTTGATCATTCTAGTGTTAATAAACTAAACTAAAATAAAATTTCAGTAATTAGATAGGATGATGTATTCACAAATCTGTAATTGGTAAACGCTTGAAGGAAATCATAGCACCAATGATTAAGCAAAATTCTTATGCATCATCTCCATTTATACTTTTGTAAACAGCTTTATCAAAATTGGGGAACTACAGAGATGATGTAATATAAGGTAATATAAGAGTAAATCTCGTAGAATAAACAAAAGTTACCATTATATTTCGTTTCTCTATGTACATGTTAAAATTAAAGTGTTTTACAAAAAGTACCTATTCTGAATGATGCTTGAGAAAAAACTTTTTATCCAAGAAAATTCCCGGATTAATCGTTCCTCACGAACTATACAGGGTTTTATAGCTCCTACGTAATAAACGCGTTGAGTTGAAGTAATAAAAAGTTTGGGATATTAAAATAACGCGGGCTCTTGCAAACAATTATCCTTAAACTTTTTGTGATATAGTGGCAATTGTCTTACTTTTCTTGGAAATCAATTTTAATCAATTTAACTACACTATGTTAAAATTAATTAATGTTATAATTATTTTTGTGGATTTCTTTTTTATAAAAAATATTTTTATGATTTCAAAATATTTAACTTTCAAATAATTAATGTATAATAAAATTATAACAAAATATCTACTCGTTATTATTTTTAATATGTACACGTGTATATGTTGTTCTGTTAATTTAAAATTAACTCAACAGCACGAAATTATTTTGCCAATCACATTTAAAAATCCAAGACATCAACTTTATTGATTTGTTTATCAAAAATAAACAATAATAAAGCTTATAAATAAATTTTATCTAGCGCAACGTATCAATTAATTTATATTGCACAACAACAAGCTTTAATCAATCATATAAAAAATTTATCACGTACACCTGAAATAAGTTCGAAATATTTCTATGTATAATAGGATTAATATTCATACGCGAAAATGTCATACTTATTAGAACATGTTTATTTTTAGTTATACGAATTGTCAATAATGTAACATGTATGCAAAATTGCAAGCATAATTGTGTACCTTTCCTTTTTTTAAAGAGATGAATGCCTTTGTGCATAAATGTTGCGAGAACTGACGTAAGCAGCATTAAAATTTGTAAGCATTCTTACGGCCTGTTGCATACATTTATTCAACAATAGATCATTTATAAACAATTATGCTCTTTGGGAGATCAGGTGCCTTCTTTCATGAGAACTGAACGGGGTATAAATTCAATGAAAAGAGCTTATGTGGAAGTGCCGACACGACACCGATAAACAATAGTGGTAAAAGATAAGAAGCTACCGTGTTCTTCCGGACTCCCTCCTCCGTCACATCACATCCCCACTACTCACTGTTCCTTCATCTGTCTCTTTTTCATATATTACGTCTTTCTTCTCTCTCTCTCTCTCCTTCAAAGTTGTTAACATAATAACGTCAAGTGCTTCACCACGTTGATAGTCAATACGTGCTGTCGCTCCGATCGTGTCACATTGATCATATTGAGTTATATTAATGTATCTGAAATGTATGTAAAATTGCATAACGAGACTTACGTGCGCATATGCACACACGCGAACAAGATATAAGCGTATGTTATCAGCGAATTTCCATTATTAGTCTTTCCGGAACTTATCACGCTTATCATCTTCGTGAATACGAATCTCTTCGCAATTTCAACGAGCAGTGATCAGACGAAGATCAGACAAGAATCACGTTAAAGGTAGCATTCAAACACTCCAAGTTGACACTTCCGATAGAAACAATTGTTGTGACACTCGACAACTCGAGCGTCTCTCAAAAACCACTTGCCTCGTAATCGAGAGCTTCTAGAGTATCGAGTAACACACTTCTAATATGAATCGTTGTTGAACTTGGAACATCTTCAATTGTGCAGACGAACTTCGATCGTAGGAGTCCCGTAGCAATCGTGGATTCAGGATGACGACTGATATCACATCGATGGTGGTGGACTATCTAGTGTTCATCGGGTTCATCGTGATTTCCTTCCTGATACCGTTATGGGGAAACTTCAAAACGAAGAAAAAAGAAACAAAGGCGAATTACGTGTTTGCCACCGGCAGCGTGTCGATGGGTGCGATGATGTTATCAATCGCTCGTGGAACCCTTGGTGTCAGGTCCTTTTTGGGTTATCCATCGGAACTGTATTATCGAGGTAGTGCCATGTGGGAGACTCTATACGGGATGCTGTTGGCATATCCCATCGTCTGTTTCGTCTTCGTACCTGTTTACTACAGCCTCGGTATTACGTCAGTCTACCAATATTTGGATATGAGGTAATTTTATTTTCCTTCTTTCTTTCATATCGCGAAATAATCAGCGTGATATTAATTAATTATATTAATTATATTAATTAATTATATTATAATATTATCAGATAATATTCTTTGAATTTTAAAAAATATGTAAAAAAATATCTATTTATGTTTACGTAAATTGTATTAACGGTATGTTAAATCATAAATAAAAACAAACAGAGCAAATCTATTATATATACAAGAAAAGTCAAGTTATAGTCAAGTTATAATACAATATTGAGATGCAATCTCGATAACAAAATCATATTGAGTTCAATCTTAAAGTTAAAAATCTAAAAATAAGAATTTTTTTCAGCATATATACGCATGCTTATTCGAGGATTTTAATCGTATAATATTGATTCTGGTGCATTGCCTTGCGCGTGTATAGTGTCAAAATATTCTGTAACAACATATATCCGCTGCAATATTTTACTGCACGTAGCAATGTTTTTATGCTATCTTTCATTAATTCATAATATTAAAATTTAAAAAAAAGTAAAAAGTGTTATTAACGTTAAGTGTATTATGGAAGAGTTATCGCGAATATATTTTGCAAAATAAAAAGATGTTTTATATATATATATATATAACATCTAATCATAAAATATTTTTAAAGTATTAGCCAAAACTTGTACATCATATTAGAAAATTATAATTGATTAATTTTAGATTGAAAAAAAAAAGGAAGAATACTTAGAATTATTAATAAATATTCAAACTGCACAGCAAAAACAAAAATTGAATTCCTAATATAAGTATATTATCTCGTAGAAAAACTAAAGCACTAAATAAAGCATTTTACCATTTTACTCGAATGTATATTGACAGAAAGATCAAAATAATAAGAAAAAAATCCTAGAAAAAAAATTATTTCTATACATATATCGGCTATTAATATTTAATATAGAGCATTTTGAATTTAAATTTTTGCTTTGACGTGAAGAACGTTACATATAACGATTATATTTCAAAGCACGAAGATAAATGCGTGAAATTTTTCATTTAATCTCTCTTAATTATGTAAATTCCCCAGGTTTAAGTCAAAACTAGTCAGATGTCTGGCGAGTTTCTCTTACGTCGTACGGAGTCTGCTAAACTTAGGAGTCACAGTATTCACTCCTTGCGTCGCGTTGAAAGCAGTAATAGGACTTCCGTACTGGGCTAGTATCATAGGAATAACGGCTATTTCTGTGGTTTTCACGATCATAGTAAGAACACGTATATTATGCCATATATTTGTTTCATAAATATCGATGTTCATTCATAATTCTAAATACCAAATACATATTCTCTCTTAATTTTCTTGTTCAACATTTTATTTAGAAATTAAAATTGAATAATCAATATTGAGATGCATAAATAAATTGAAATATATAAACAATATATATATATAAAAAATACAACAAATAAAAATGTCTTTTATATTTACTCGTGAATACGCGAAAAAATTTAAAAATTATCATCTTTTGTTATAGCATACAAATTATATTAACAAATAATGTTGCATTCTGTGATTGACATCCATTTATCTGAAATTATATTGATTTCAATCTTTGTGGAAAACTAAATTATTTGCGATGATTTCTGTGGAAGCAATTTTCAGAAAGTTCAATATTTCGAATTTAAATGAAGAGTAAAACTACAATATAATTTTAATAAACGTGAATTTTCCGCGCGCAATGTAAAATTACATTCTAGTGGTAAATTACTTATATTCGTCCCATAGGAAATTGGAACAATCAAGCACGTATATAAACAGGACGCATTGAGCGAATAACAGCAGCAAACAATGTTATTATAAAAAATAATGAAAACTGTATAACTTTTAATATTAATCTCTGAAATAATGGAACATTAATGTGTAGAATATAATACATTTGTTATAAAAAAAATACATATACAAATATATATTTCGAATTATAGTAGATTACTTTTTTACGTGAATCATTTAGCACGGTTAAAATTTCTAAAATTAAATAACCTCATAAGTAATATTAATTTCGTCATTTAATACATTATATATACTAGTCACTCAGTAATAAATTGTGTTATTTCATAAATACTTAATATTTATTTATGTATGTTCGTTTTTCAGGGAGGTTTAAAAGCCGCTATTCTGTCGGATGTTATACAAGGCTTAGCAATGATTGGTGTATCTGTGATAATCATTATACAGGGAACTGTTAATGTTGGTGGACCAGTTAACGTCTTCAATGTAACTCAGGAACGTGGTCGACTGGATTTTTTCAAGTATGTTACACTGATAATTCACATTAACATTAAGTACATGTAATTTTGATATTAATTCACGCTTAAAATGAATGATGTACGGAATTCCTATTGTGTAGCTTCGCATTTCGTCTCTCTGAACTTTAGAATTATTATCTCGGCGAAAATATACAATTCCAACTGTCAGTAAATTGAATAATGTTAAAATGCAATTTTATATTAAAATTCTTCGCTACGCATTTCACAATTTAAAATTATTAAATTCCGCAGCGGTGCAAAATTATTTCACAGGCTATGCATTTTCTACATCTTTGAAATTTTGGGGAGACAATAACATATTCATCTTTTTTTAAAATTGAGGAAGAATTTAAATAATTGAGTAGTTTTTTAAACAACGTTTAATATCTTAAAATTTTATTTTAAGTATATCTTACAATAAAATCTATTTTTTTTATTATTTAGTAATTAATTCTATCTTCAGTTTTGATATGGATCCACATCTTCGAGTAACGACGACATCGGCGACAATAGGACAGCTCTTCATGAGTTTATCCATTTTCGGATGTCAGCAGAATTTTGTCCAGAGATATTGCAGTATGTCCAGTCATAGGAAGGTTGTCAAGTAAGTAAACTGTTTATCTCGATTGAAAACTTGGAACAAATTTCCTACACATTTTGAACAAATTCTACACTTTTAGCGTACAACGACAGACTTGTACGACACATTGTCGCACATGCACAAGTCGTCAAAAAGCTTAAAGGATAATATGATTTATGCAAAGTGTTCCACAAATTATCACTTTACACATTTAAAACATAAATGAAACTTGAATATGACTGTGTACATAAAGCACAAAATAGCTTCAATCAAACGAAAAAAAGATTCAGTAATAAATTTTTTATTTTGAGAATAAAATTGTATTTTAAAAGTATTAAATCATAACATTTTAATACAAAATTCTACTAATATAAATAAATCTAAAAGATACAGTCTAAAAAATAAATTCGAAAAATGTAGTAGTAGGATAGTTATGCATTATTTTACAGTGCTGCATATTTTTTCGTGCTACGTCTGGAAAAGATTTTTATCAATAAATAAACATAATTTATCATTTTAATTAATGTTTTAATAAAATTATGTAGACAGAAAAAGAAAATCATACATCATTTTAATATCAGTCTGATGTTTTCTGACATTTATTCAAGGTTTTAATGTAATTTCGTGACTTCGTAATTGTTTACTTGGACACCTTGGACAGAAGTAAAATAATGTAAAAATTATATTGATTAAAACTATTAACTAAAAATTTGCAAATTTTATTGATTTAATAAAAAAATAAATTTTTTAAGCAAAAATGATATCAAGAAGAGAAGAAATTCTTTTTAAAAAAAATTTTAAAACTTGCAAAACGTCATATCATTTTCATGAGCACATTCTTCGACGTAAAATTAAATTCGGGTATTTTCGTTCATGTGTATTATATTTAGCCTTAAGAAAACGTTTCTTTTCTATCAATTTTATTTGTTATTTTTTATTTAAGACTTATTCCGTTTATATCGTATAAATACAGCTGTTTGCACAATTGAAGTAGTTCGCACGCTCGCATAATTGTAATCGTAGCGAAACATTGAGGCGCATGTACAGTAGTCAACGTAAAATCGTACATTTTTCTAGTCCAATATCTGATGGCAATCGAAAGCGTATAAAAGCCTATGGTTACAAATTCGCGGCGGTACCATCGCACTCAAACTGAAACACTACATGGAACAAATGCATTACCGTTGGTCCGTAAAATTTTATTACTCGCAAATGTATCGTCAGAGGAATCTAAATCCTATATATTTCCATGACAAAAATTAAGTGTATAATTGTGACAAAAATTAAGTGACATGTTTATGAAATTCTCGACATTTCAATAAAAAATTTAGAGATTAAATAAAATTTCATTGTCATTAAAAATTTTCTTTCACTATATTTCACATATTTTCGAAATATATTATAATAAAATGAATATTTGAAATCAGTTTGGAATATTACGTGTATTTATATATTGTTGATAAGACTGTTTTTTAATAACTTTTTTTTTAAGTGTCCATTTATATTATGATAACAGATTAAAAATAAAGTTTTATGAAATTGTTTATAAAAGATAATTTTCATATACTCGTTGTATACTAATAATATAATTATTTATATTTTTACATGGTGTTTCTATTTTTATAAATGTGATTAATATGTCAGAAATCGGTCAGAAACTATAAAGTGAATTTCTTGTGATAATAAATTAATAAACTTTACACCGATAATTTTCCATGCTCATAGTATCAGCGATAGAAATTGTTTTTGGAAAGTGGCACGATTGAATCGATTTAGAAAATTGTGCCCACAGTTACTATTATCACATAATCAATGAACTCCGTAGGGAACCAAATGGCGTCGCGCCAAACTTTTAGTATAGATATTTTCACTATTCAATAAGAGCTCTATAATATCGGCGACAGACGTACGTTAAAATAAAATTTTCTCTATACATTTAAATTGACTGAATAAATGTCTCACTAAAAATGAAAAAGCAAAACTATTCCGGAATGATGAATTAAATTCTTCATTATTTATTATTGTAGATTGCTACAAATTATTCAATGATTGAAATTATAAAATTATAATGAATAACTGCGTCGTTATTGTTAGTTAACTTAAAATTTATGTTGTTATGGGATTTACCCGTATTAATGTATATTAATGCATTATGCTGCATAAGCGATATATTATATTTGATATTCTTTCCTTGACAGGCATTTTAATTAACATCGAGATACATTATAAGTGATTTAATTGCCATGTGCGTTAATGCAAATCACAAGTATCTACTGTATCTCAACCTATATTGTTTTTGTTTTATACTTAAGAATTCACTCACTTATCTTATTTTCCACTTCTGAGTTCTTTTTATCTTTCATCTTATTCTTAAAAAATTAAATATTTAAATTCCATTATCTCGAAAAGTTGAAAAAATACAAACAAACGTCATCTGCATTCAAGCTTTTTTCATTAATTATTCGTTATTCTCCACTTTTATTTATGTTTACGTAACAGTTCTTCCGACGTGCTACTGTCACGCGTTATTATGTTAATCTCACAAAAAATCTAATATAAATATTATCCGCATATATATATATACACACACACACACGTTATTCTTATGCATTTGCATCAAAACTGTTTTAAATAATGCATTTTAAACGAATGTCTAGAATGTACATAAATAGAACTTATTGCAAAGTCTCATATTTTTTAAGATTAGAGTAATTAACAAATAAAAATAAATAATAATTTTTTTGAATAAAATTCAAACTTTACTATATTAAAATAATATAAAACAATTTAGAATGTTTACAATTATTATAAAAACAATAAGCATTCCACAATGTATGTTATGTAAATGCAAATATATATTGACTACTTTACATCCGATGTATGCATATTTCATTTTTTTTTTAAATCCGTTTTTTGTGAAACATTTAATTTGATGTCAGTCAGTTACAACAACTTACTATCGTCGTTTTTGCATTATCGTCAATTATATTAAAGTACTACTGTGTAGACAAATACAAAATCTATTTCAATCATTGCACGTACCGAGAGCATAATGCGAGCACAAAAGTTTATTGCATGCATTAAAAGAAAAAAAAACTTATTTAAAAAACTTGTACGCTTGTAAGCATGAACGCAAATAACAATTATATAACATTAATTTTTTTCAAGAATTGTATCATGCATTTATGTAATAACATAAACAATCTCCTTGTATAATTTTTAATATATTTCAATAATCATTGCTATCTTGAGCTCAACATTATTGTATCAATTTTTATTTATAATTTTTAAGTTTATATTTTGATCTTCGATTTTTTTGTAATAAAAAAATATTTTTTATTTTTTCAGAACGATGATGGCCAATGTACCCATAATCACAATCTTGTTCTCGTTATCTTGGATCGTTGGAATGGTGATTTTTGCTAATTACGCCAACTGTGATCCACTTAGTTTGGGATATATTTCGAAGATTGACGAGATTGTACCGTTCTATGTCGAAGATAAATTCTCAAAAGTACCCGGAATGCTTGGTCTAGTCATGGCAACTCTTTTCAATAGCGCTTTGACTTTAGCGGTATCTAATCTCAATTCTCTTGCGACGGTGACTTTCGAAGATTTCCTGAGTCACATACCTGCATTGAGTGATATGAAAGACACACAGCAGCTTCACGCGATCAAAATAATCGGTGTTATTTATGGTTTAATAATAATCGGCATTAGTTTCTTAGTAGCTATGTTATCTGGCGTAATAGAATCTTCTATGCTAATGACGTCAGCAACATCCGGACCTCTTCTTGGTGTATTTCTCCTCGCTATGTTGATACCTTGTGCTAATTGGAAAGGTGCCGCCGCTGGTATGATTTTTAGTCATGTAACAACGATGTGGATCACTTATGGTCACCTCAAACAGGGTAACGTGCCTGAGATGCTACCTCTATCGACAGAGAATTGCGACAATGAAACGTTTTCCTCATGGGTCATCAGACCAATTAGTCTAGAGTATTATGCATCAAACTTCACTAACTGGACAACAATTCAGGAAAACATTACGCCATCATCTGTCGACGTAATCAATGAATCATCTAATCCTTTAAATGTTCTTTATGGAATCACCTACATGTATTACGCTCTTATCGGTAGCATAACGACCGTCGGCGTTGGTATCATTGTGAGTTTAATTACTGCCGATGCCGAAGCTGACAAATACGAAGAGCACTTGCTGCATCCTACAGCACGAAAAATAGCAGGATTATTTCCTGGAAAACGGAGGCTCTACATCAGCAATATTCATCTTGGGAATAAAAACGATACAGACGTCACGAATGCCACTCTCCTCAAGGATGCATCGATGATAAAGGAAAGTTACATCTAGATAATAATTATGTGGAAAAATTGAACGTGCTAAAGAACGCTTCTCTGGATGTAACCAATGAAATTGGCAAGCATACTAGATTATAAATACTGCAATGCAAATTTGCAAATGTTCTGCATGCATTGTTCGCAGTATCACTATTGACCAAATTATTGAATAAAAAATTTCAACATTTGCGAGAATTATAACTATAATAAGTGAACAGTTGTGTATATGTTAGTGCCAGATTTTATTATCCAAATATGATACACGTGGGTTTGTGACCTGTGCGCGTGAAACGTAATTACGCGTATGCAAAGTTTCCCTCGAATTACAGTGCTCGAGCTCTCATATTCAGCTCAAAATATTGCTCAAATGGAAGCAATTCAGAGATGCAATTCATGAAAACTTTTAACTTGCGTGTGCCAATTAAAGTTAACTACAAGACACGTATAAGCTGCATTTAGACATGAACACGATTTACTAGAGAAAATTATCAAGTACACATGCTTTTGCTGACTGAGTTCATGTCACTGCTCGCAATGAATGATTTCTGTATCTAAGCGAAGGAGCATAGAAGTGAAAATCAGTATAATTACTATTAGCAACTGAATACATAATTATGTAACTTGATTATAGTGAAAAATTAATAATCAAATAATTATCAACCGATAATGTAATTTTTTTGCTTTTCTTATTACACATTATTTCGATTGTGTACTTGAAATATGTATTCAAAAGTATTCTCACTACGCTTCTTCTTTAACTATATTCAATAAGAGGATTGATTTTTTGAATTATATTTACTTTTCAAAAATAATTTAATATAATAGATCAAAATTTTCTCTTTTATCTTTATATACTTGTTCGTGTCAAACGAACGTTTATGTTTTTTCAAGACATGTTCTTTCGTACTTTATTTTTATTTCGTGAATGTTATACTGTAAGAATAATTTTTTTCTTATATCATGAAAATAATGAAAGTAACTTTTGTCAGTTAATAAGAAAAAAAGTAAGAAGAATATTAAAGAAGTTAAACAAAGAAGTCTAGAGATTACAAAAAAATTACAAAGAAGAAATAGGGCCGCATTTTTTATAACTTTGTTTTTAGATTCAATGATTCAAATTGATACTCTGCAATAGTATATAACTTCGTATTAGGTAAAGATATTTGATTGCAAAACAGCAGTCATACGCGAGGGTTCCTCTAACATAGTATTTAAACTTTAAATGAATTTCGAACTTTTTATAGTAAGTATCTTATAGAAGATTGCGCATATCTGTACATACGTATGTAATTCGTGTGTGAATTGTTTTCAAATTTATCTAGCGTCTTAGACATTGATATTAAAAGTTATTTTTGTACTTTAAAGAATGTGAGTTATTTTATAAGTTGTGTATTTTTTAAGTTGTGTTCTCCAATATGTATGATACGTAATGGAATGCCAATCCAGCGACTGTGATCGTTGATTTTTATTTGTATCATTGTGCCTATATATTTATTATTTCAATAATATAATTCATTAATTTTTATCTGTTTTAGTAGTTACTTGAGAACCTTAAGACAACCTCTTTTCATGTAAATGCTAATCTTGAATATGCTATACTTTTGATATATGACAAAGATTAGTATAATTTTATTTAAGCATATTCAAATTATTAAATATCTAGTCTAAATGTTGGCATATCTATAGATATAAGTCGATAACTATCCAATAATTGTCAACATAATTAAATATTAATATATAAATACAATTTTAATGTTATACATATATTTTAAATATTATTTCCTCATTAAATACATAGCAGACAAAAAAATGAAATGATTGCTCTCTCTCTCTCTCTCTCTCTCTCTCTCTCTCTCTGTTTCTATTTTAAAATTATGAAAATTTACGACAAATAATATTTCTTTGCAATGATGTACTTACATTATACAATGATTTCTTTTTAAAAGCACAACCTTTAAATATTCTAACCTTTCAATACATGCTGTTGAAAAAGTATAATTGTGGCAAGAAAAAGCCTCGTTCTAGCCTATAGCAACATTTTTTTTTCAGCATAGACTTCAGATGTCAAAAGTCATTAATCAGTTTAATTTAAAAAAATGATTCATTTTAAAGATAATTATCCAGCAAAAATTGAATACAAATTTAATACAAATTGATTTCTGAAAACTATATATTCTAATATATTGTATAAAAATTCGTCTTAAATATAATTTCAAAATAAAATTGCATATTGAGATAAATATTTTTTTATTTGACAATTACAAATCAATTTACCATTTTAAAATTAAATTAAAAATAGTTTTGAAAGTATTGGATAATAAAAATTTTCGCAAAAAATTGAGTTTTATTAATTCGTTGCTGAAAAATTGTTAAAATATCTACATTTTTATTCACGGTTAGTTACTTTTAAAAAGTAACTCGTTATCCTGTTATTATTGTGTTTTTATTTCCGACGTTTTGTGTACATCAGTCAGCTTGTCCTTCATTCACATCGCGAAATGCAAAATAAGGCTCAAATGTTTATGCAATTGAGAGTTTGAATATAATTACGTAGAGTGAGATGCGCGCCGACAATTCGGATAGATCAATTGCGATTGGCGCGCAGACGTTAAGGTATATTTCTCCGGCTACAATCACGCTGGAAAGTTAATCGCATACAACTTATGAATATGCCTCTCCGCGCGTTGCTCTCTGAAGAGTCTGAAGAGAAAGCAAACTTTTGAGGCGAGCATACACACATGAATAAATGTGTCGTATCTGTGTGCACAAACACTAGTCTACACTGAAGACAATTGAAATGTGGCAACAGCATGTTCCTGTCTTGCCGCTTGACGTGCGAGAAGAAGAATTTCACTAAATTACAAATTTAAACTACTCTAATTCAAAAACGGCACCGCTAAGCCTTCCCATTTTTTTAATAAGATTCCAATAATATTTTTATATTACATATTTATTTATTTTTTTTAATCTGTAGAAGATTTTCGCCGCAAAGTTAAAGTGTTATTTCGATAAAGCTTGATATAGGAGTTTACGTGATAAGAGCTGAAATTTTGAAGATAAATATCTCTATTTCAGCTAGAATCTTTGAAATTTAACCCCATATATAAATAAAATTATTTTAAACATATTAATATTCAAATTTCAAAAAAATCTAGAAACTCAATTTCTCGAAGAAACGTCTTAAATTTCCTTATAAAACATTATCTTACTCGCACGCAACATTTGGGTTGTCTTAAATAGTAATTATCCTAAATAATAATGAGATACTCAGACTAAATATCTAGTAAGCAACAATAAGAACAATTGTCTCTTGTCAATCAGACAAGAGACAAAATACGAATAGAACACTTATATTTATAACTTATAACTTACAAATTTTAAGTCGGCTTAGGAAAAAGAGTGATTATAGTGACTCATTTTAAACGAAAGTGGCTTTTAGTGACTTATTAAAGAAAAGTAATAAAAGTGATTTAATTAAGTGACTAAATGAGATAGCTATTATTCTTGTTTATATTTGTTTGCATATAAATAAATTAGCATGGATAAATGAAATAAAGAGTTCGGAAAAGTCAGACATAGTCTACAGATATACATCGTCGACCATCCGACCATCGATACTGCATCTGTTTAGGATTGGAAATTCAAGGTGATCCGGTGTGCAGACCACGTTACAACGCTGGCAACGTTGCGACGATTTAACGGTAGTAGTTTCATATCAGTATATATCCTCCTCCGGACAGGATGGCTATGTAGTGGTAAAGACAGTCGGTCGGTATATTCCAGAAGAAAACACAGACTTTAGTATTGTGCACGTTCTCGAGTTGGTTGCTCACAAATCTTATCATGCAGAAGAAGGTAATATCTCTGACAACATCGAGCGATAACTTTCTACTTTTATTATTCTCTTCTCTCTCTCTCTCTCTCTCACTCTCTCTCAAATATATATGCATAACATACAATACATTTTTCTTTCTTTTTTTTACTTTTTCAACTATTTTCAGTGTTGTTACAGTGACCGTCGCCGGATTTCAGATTTGAAGCGTGCCGCGAGTACGGTTTCGATCCTGCGCTCTTCGCTTTTTCGAGGCGTTCGATCAGGCCACGAGACATCCATTTTGACAGTACGACAGCAAGATCGTGTAGAATACGCGCAACAGCCATACGTCTATTTTCGTTGGTTATCAAGAGGCGTATGAATTTCACGTTACAGTTGTGCAGAAGATAATACATATACATTTCCGTACGCTATCTCGCACAGAGTATCTTTAAGAGTACAGCGTGGGCGCGGCGCATCATGGCGGTGGAATCAAGGTAAATACACGGAAAGCTCGTACGACATGCGCCGGTAAAATGCTGTATTCTAAACGCGAATGACCTTTGACGGGATAACAGTAATTTAGTGCACGAGGGAATAATTATTCATGCAGATGGATTTCGATCATTAGCCATTTTAAATTTTGTAAAAGGATGATAGAAATAGATAGGAATATGAAATATCGCGCTTTGACGAACTTTAAAAGAGAATAGCATCGCGTAAAATTAAATGCTCTCATACAAAAGATTTCTACATTTCAATGCTGTATAAGCATAAATTTATTATGCTTTCAAAGGTTTTACATTTGAAAGATTCGAGTTTTATATATTTTAGTGCTTTAAATTTCTATCATATCTAGTTCCGATCTTTCGCTGTATTTTCTGAAATAAGAATAACTATTGTTATTCTTCGACTTGTATTATATATTAATCGTCGAAGATATCAAGTGGTATATTGAGTTGTTCCTACAACTGTGCGCTATAATTAATATAATTCGTAATTTCATCGTAAATTGTAGATTCTTGGTAAATAATTAAGTAGTCTATGTCGAAAACGCGACGTAAACATATTTGCTTGAGAATTCGCGCGAACTCATGAGAAATGCGAATTTCTCTAAGCCAATGTTGGTTCGTTTCGCACTGTTACGCGAGACCCAGTGGTGCCCAACTGTTTCGAAGCTGCAAAGTTTCCGGCATCATTAGCTCGTAACTTAGAACATGCTCCTGATTGATTGCACATTGTGCATGCACTTGATAGAAGTAAGTTTCATTCATTAGCAGCTGAGATAAGTCGACATCAAAATCCCATAAAATACAATAGTTTCCACGATGTTATTTTTATCTCTTCCTTAACTCAAATTATGCAAAACTTGACGTTGTTTCTTTTTTAAAACTTTTGACGTATATAATGATTCATGAAACTGATCAAATCGTTACAAATCGATATTATTATAAATTTCTTTTAAAAATTCGTAAACAAAGATAATTATAGCAAAATCATAAATGCTTATTTGTTTGTACATATGTTATGTTGATGGTACATTTGATCAATTTTGAATCATTATATACTTGATATAAATAAATAAAAGTGAAATATTATTCATCAATCACGCGTTACACAAAGTATAATCTAATAATTCCTAAAGACTCACGTTTTTCTTAATTTTTTTATTCTTTAAGCTATTGTTAGTTTTGGCAAATACTAGATGCAGTTAGATAGTGGTAAACTCGAGGGTAAATTATTAGCGAATCGTGCATAAACGAGCACGAAGCGAGCTCATAGAAACACCTGATAGCAATGATCGTAGATCTACGAAGACTTCATTATCTCTGTGTGATGTATACACACACACACACACACACACACACACACACACACACACACACACACACACACACACACACGCACGCACACGCTCATGAAAGCGTGAGGAAGCGTTATTGTCTGTTAGATTATGTTCGTAATCGATCGATGTTCGATTTACCGCGTGCGCGATATTATGTATTCTTGAGATTTATTATCTTCCATAGAATTCAATGTTATTGTGTCCGAATTGTGACTCAGCATTACTAGGTTGATTTCGCGTGTATAGATACTTCGAAAGATACTTCGAGAGATATTATCGTTAAGCGATCGTAAGAACCGAATGTTTTCATAACAACTCGCGGGCAATCACTTTTCGGAATTACTTTCAAAATTTTCGTACATTTCATGTAGTACATTCCTATAAAATATATGTGCACATGTACTTCTCCAATATTTTCTTTCCTTTTGTATAAAAAGAATCTTTGTGGTATTATGGCAAGAGGTTTATGTAGCCTTTTTAGATGTATATAGCAATATTTGTATAGATTTTATATAAACTTTCTTACTCTGGAATATGAACGTTTACATATCAACGAACATATTCTACAATTATATTATCTTTAGTTTTTTATTTATCTGTATATGTGACATGTTCAAATATATATCCACATACACTAAATCCGAGATAAAAACATAAAATATATCATTTAATAATTTTTTATATAAATATTCGTATTCTATAAATATTTAAATATCATTTTAATGATAACAATTTTCGACTATTTATATCTAAGCAATATATTTAGCAGCGACTACTTTCATCTGTGAAAGCGATGCTAGAGATATTGTTAATATAATGCTAATGTATTCCACGTGGAATTTACTCTCAGTAATCTTATCCAGCGATTATATTCATCTAAATTACTAAACCATTTTGTTCTCCAAGTCGCACATTTAATAATACGTATCTTCATTTTGCTAAATGTAAAAGAAGATAACGATATTTATAGTTACCGTCATTGATAAGAATACTATGTATTTTACAGAATATTTATATAGTTGGAACACAGTACTCTAAAAGCATTTATTTTCTAACAAAATATCGTATCTATAATTAAATAAAGTTGAATTTACAAAATATTAACAATATTATACTTTCACCGTTATTCGTGATTTTATAATATTTAAATTTAATATGTTGACTTTTACGTTTAATAAAATACAATAGAACAAAAAATGAAAATAAGTCTTAAAAAATTATTATTAAAGAATATTTCTTAACATACACACAAAAATACTAATATAGTAGAGAGCGCTTAGGTCCGGTCAAAATTAGATGTTTCGAATAATATAATTCTTGGTTCATGAATTTAATTTATCTCAAATGTGCGCTGAAACGTTCGGACATTTAAACACAATCAATCTGAGACTAAAAAAAAATATTAATTATAATCCTTTTCTATTAACTTGTTCGCTCTCCAAGGAATAAGTTATTTAATGTAATTTAATACAATGGCAGTTGTTATTAAAAACATAAAATATATAAAATTAAATAAGATATAATAAATATGAGGTATAAAAATAAAAATGTTTTAGATACGTTTACTATTATAACGATCCATCTTTAAAAAAGTTGATAATAGATCATTTGTATTAGAAACAATATACAAGATAAAACAAGATCTCTCTCTTTCTCTCTCTCTCTCTCTCTCTCTCTCTCTCTCTCTCACACACACACACAAGATAGAAATAATACCCCAAGTTAATTCCTATTAAAATGGACAATTAAAATCTGTACCCATTGAAATACGTTATTCACTGTACTAAATAAATGATAGTATCGACATCATTTAAAAATATAACATAATCAAAGTAAATCATCTGTGAACAAAAATCTCATCCGATCTTTAATTATTGTTTTATGTTTGTCGAATAAATAATATTATTTAAAATATAATAATGATGTTTACAAATGCTCGAAAATGTAAAACATGTGCATGAATGCTCAAAGAATAAACTTTAAAGAATAAATGAAAATGAATGGAAATAAATCAAAATTAAAGTAACAATAAGGGAAAAAGAAATTTTTAAATTGTTTTAACATTACGTTCGACAGTTTAATAGCTGTGTAAATTTTAGATTGTAGTATTTATCTTGGTCTTTTAACGTTTGCGTTATTAATTCATCATAAAGTATTATATAGTAATTTTATTTCTTTTCACATGCGAATATTCAGTCCGCTTTCTTATCCGATTTTATTCGAGCAAAAATAAGGAGAAATTGCAAATATGAAAAGACAGATGTATGGGTAAACATTCCCGCAAAGAAAATCAAATGCGACACTGTCCCATAAACACTGCAAGATACATCGAAAAACAAATGTAAATTTTATATCTCCTGTTTGTGATTCTATTTGAGAGATTTTGTAGATAATTTTACTGAAAATACGCGCACAAAATTTCGAATATAATTATAGAAATAATACGAATAACAGTTAAAATTTGTTTACATTTATATTTATAAAAATGAAATTAAAGCATTTGCATTCACTCTTCAATATACAATATCTAACAGGCCACAATTTTAGCAAATAAATAATTCTAATGGATAAATGGCATTGAATCTCATGACTCTCTCTCATTTTCTTTTTTTTATCTTCCTCTGCTAATTTTGTATTCCATTGTAATTATATTGACTTCAATGGGCCTATCGTATTCTCGCTAACGATTAATTATCTTGCTTTTGTCTAATCGGATTTGCTAATAAGTGAAACGTTCAAATAACATGGATAATGATTCATTTCAGATGGATGCCATGTCAGTTGAAAATTGAAACGAATATCTGCAGCGGCGAATACGATGGCATTATTCTGGTGTCAGGAAGTACCCCTGGATCCAACGAGCCGGAACCCTTCAAAACCGTCCTCTATACCGCGGCCCAGATCGATGCTGCACTGGGCGTGATCGGCGCGGTTTTGCCCATCAATTTGCTCGCAAAAAGGCTCATTTACAGCCCAACGGGTCCGCTTAACATGGATTATCACGATGTGCGGAGTTTCGCAGAGGCAGCCACGAAGGGAATAAAACGGTAATTCTTTTGTATGATCTCACATATTTTTTTTTCTTTTTATAGTTTTTTTAACGTGAATGCCAAACTAACAGAATCGTTATGTCTATAGAAATGTATTATATGAATTTATTTTATTAGCTCTCAAATACGATTTTATAATACATTTAAATAAAAATATAATGTATTGAATAAAGATATAAAGAAGCGATATGTATTATGTTGTAGTCGGGTAATATATATTTAAGTTCGCATTTATTAGCTGAGCAAAAGGGTACGGTCTGCCTAATTGGTCCCCATCACTTAACCAAAACGTCTGCCTAATTGGTCCCCATCACTTAATCAAGCTTAATGAATAAATTATATAATAATGCGCTATTTATGCGTTCTCAAAATCCGCAAAAAAAAATTTTTGCACTCATTTTAGTTAAAAAAAATTTTTTGTGGAAGAGCTGAATAAGCTGTCAGTTAGCCCCCTCCCCCTCCCCTCTCCACGTGTTAATAACAATCGATTTGAAAAATCAAATACACAGGATTTTTCCATTATTTATGCGTTTTCATATTCACATAGTTTCAATTTTTGCGCTCCCTTAAGGCACTTTCCTTTTGGAGCAAGTCATATTCATCCCTAAGTCGTTAAAAATTGCAAAATTATCCTATCTAACTATGCGAAATATATCTTCGATTTATGCACTACTGCTTCCAAGCAAATTCGATTTTTGCGCTGCAACCCTTAAGAGTTCTTTTATTGCCTATTTTACAAAGTATTAAATTTTTTTATTGTCTTTAGGTTTTAATCTCGTTGATAATTACGGACTAACAATTACCCGTTAATTTAATTTCTTCATGTTATCAATTAATTAAATAATAGTTATCGACATAGAAAACCTGGTTATCTTTCATTTTGGGGAGAGATAACCAGGTTTTATATAGCTATGTCGATAACTATTATTTAATTGGAGAGATAGGCTAATAAGACAATAAAAAGAATGATATACATATAGTGATACAATGCTATCAAAGCAACGCCACGTGCCTACACTATCTTGTTTTAATTTCAGTTCAACAAGATTTCTACATGTTCAGTCTTTGTCTATACATATACAAATCAATATTTATTGCAAAACAAAATATTTTTTTCAATTTTTTTATTCTTTAACAATAATCACTAATAATTCAACAATATTTTTAATCTCTTTGGTATTTCTAATAAGCATTCTTCAACTATATAAGGGACACTTTACTAAATTCCACAATCGAAGCGCGCAAATTCCAGTGTTTTTCATTGTCCGGATATAATTGGATTTAGCGAGCACTCAGAAAGTGACGTTATATCTGCGTTCTCGTGTCGGCAATTTGCATATATTTGAAAAAAATCATTGTATTTTTTTCGAGCTCGTTACAATGGAAATCGGCGTGAGAGTAATTAATTAAGTGCTTTTGATTGTATGTTTACAATTTCGAACATCTTTGTATAAGCATCGAGTGTTCATTCACTAACGACATGATGGTCTTGCAACGAAACGAACCACGAACGATTGTCAGCGTTTTGTGTACTCCAATAGCTGCATATGGGAAACGCAATGATGTACGAACGAAATTCCGCGCGAACCATACGCCTGTCCGTTCCGAAATTCGATTGAAAAATGAAATTCCTGTCCGTTTGGCACTGTTTTTTTTTTTTTTTACACGGACAGTAGTGACGGAAGATTGGCATGGATCAGCACGTTCTATGTTAGTAGAAAAAAGAACAAATAATGATAATGAACGTATCTTGCGTATCAATTTAGGATAAAGCGAGATTATTTGAATAGGTTAACATTGCAGAAATTTTAGTATATGTTTTGTATGTTTAATTACACTATACGACCTCGATTCTTTTACACAATTTCAAAATTTTTATTAACGTATCCAAATTACCTTACTTTACTCTATACACATTTTGTTTTAATAGTAAGTATTTTTTAAATTTGGTTGCAACTTACAATTTTGCACAATATCAAAAGCAGACTAAAAGATAAGCGTGGTATTGTTATCACCATATCACTACGTGACAAAAATATACCAATTTTAATATACTTAAAATATTATATAAATAATATAAACAGTAAACAACAAAGTAATAAATTAAAAATAAAGCATAAAGAATAAAGCTCATAAACTCTTGGATGCCAGTTTCTGTATAATTATTTGAAAGTATAATTTGCTTACATTTGTAATTTATTTTTCTCCTCATGCAAACCTTCATAGTATTCCCCAGAGGAAACTGGTCACAACCTTCGAATTTTATTCTTTTAGTCTGTATTTTAATTATTACTGTTTTTTGCGGGCAAAACTGTTATCACGCTCCGTTACATATCTAAGCAATAATGTGGTATTTACGGTCCTTTTAAGATCTCGAAATAATAGCGGTGCACGGTTCTACGCGACATTAATACCAAACTCAAATCAAAAGTACTTTGTTGAATTGAGAATAGAACGGGAGATTTGAGAACTGTGATATAACGATAGTTTCTCGAAATTACCAAGTACGAGACATCGCACGCAACGCATCAGGAACATTTAACAAAGTTTAAACATGATAGCAATATACTTCAGGAATAGATTAATAGTTCGTGATTCGCAAAAGTGAGAGGCACCTTCGGTTATATAGCTCACGTTTGTATTACACCCGACAAGATGAAAATTAGAAACAAAGAGAGCGAGAATAGCCATTCGTGTCTCGGGATACTCAATGAGAATTGTACTTGTCCCCAGAGAACTCATTTTTTTTCTCTTTTTTGCATGAACATCCTCTCTGGAGTGTAATATTACTGCAAGTTCTATGATGGCAATATTACTGCGTGGATTATAATGTCCGCCAACAATCATCGAATATAAACGATATGTCTGCACCGTAATTACTGTCAACTTTCTTTTGAGTCAACTTTCTATATACGTGAATCCTTCTACTTCTGAATTAATTTTATTGTATATTTAATATACTTTATATATATA